TATATATATATATATATATAATAGAAATCTAAAGATAATATAGATTTTTAAAAAAAGAAATTGAGAAGATAATTACTTAAAACAAGTCTCTGGTACTAATAAATTATTAACTCAAACATGTAATATAGGATTCGACGTATTTGCTTGTAATATATAATCTTTTCAACCCAATCAACTGTATTTAAATGTAAAGTGAGTGATTATGACTAATTAGAACTTTCTTAACTTGCTTATCCTCTTTAATTATAAGTGGATTATGTATGTTTGTTATCATATTCGATTATAAAAAGTATTTTTTCACCTATTTTACTTAATTTGTTGCATTTCAAGTATAGTTTAATATTTTTTTTAAAAAAATTCAAGTATTTGGCTATTGATAGAACAACACTTAGTTTTATATCAATCTTGAGGTAAATTCAAAAGGAATTAATGTTATCTAGTCACTAATCTGTGGCTCTTTTCTCTTAATTTTCAGCCTCATTATTTTTTTTCAATTGTTGGCATATTTTTAGCTTAATTTTTTTCCTCATTATTTTCAAAGAAATTTTGTTATCTCAAATTGAAGTTTATTTTTTTGTAACCTTTTTATTTAATTATATATGAAAATTAAAATTTATTTCATATATTTTTTTTTTACGGTCAAATTAAGATTAAAGAAAATGTTCGAAGTATATAAAAAGATTAAGAGAAAATATTTGAACATGTATTTTGACTATAAGTAAGTGTTAATATATTATTTATTTATTATTTTTTATCATCATTTTTAATAATATTATTCATACTTTCTAGGAATGTGACTTTGAAAAGTTATAAAATATTTGAAATGAAGAGTATTCATTCATAACAATTGGATCAATTGGCAACAACATTAAAATCAATTTTAATATATTTTTCATTATGTTATAGTTGATCTACTTAAATTTTGAATTTCTTTAGCAAGTACAATTTATTAGTCTTTGATTTAGAGGCATATTAGGACCTAAGCTAATCTCATTGGAGTTCTTGCATATGCCTCATTGGCAATAAAATTGTGCACATTATCATCAACAAATTGTTTAATAAATCTACACACTTTTTTTGATGGTCAAAATCTCATTCTTCATCAAACTTTGATTTTGGTTTATTAGAAGCAAAGACAGGAATATGCAAATTTTTCACAATTAGCAAGTCCTTCATCTTATCCTCTCGCAAGTGATAATTTGTTTCATTCAAAGAAATCATCTTGGTATGTGTCTCCATCATCACGCAAGTCAAATAGCCCCTTAACCAAAGAGCTCTAATGTCACTCTGATTGGAAAGTCCAACACAATAACAACTCAATGAAAAAAAAATAACCCAATGGAAATTAAATTTTCCTAATTGCAAGAATCAGGGAGGAACACTAATAAAATAGAGTAAAAACAAATAAATCAAACACTCAAGAGACACAAATATTTTTAACATAAAAAATTTCTCAATGTAAGGATAAAAATCACAAGTTGTCTAGACTAAAAAAAAATTCATTATGATCAACAAAAGGTACAAGAGAATCTCTAATAAACATACCAAATAGTGTTTACAATCAGTCAAAGCAAATCAAGTACAATTACTTACAAATGATAAATAAAAAGAAAATTCTCAAAAACATAATTGTTACCGTGAGACACTTTTTTCTCATTTCAAACTTTCTTTCAATGATCCAACCATTGAACATGAAATATTATGTCATACAAACTTGTTGTCCAAAAATCAGCCTAATTCAACAGTAAACAAATCTCCCGTTACAATTTAACAAATGTTGTCTAGTGGATATATGAATTGAACAACAAAACTTTTTCTCTTATCTTTTCTTTGTATTTCATTATTGTTTTCTCTTAAATTAAGTCATTCCCTCTATCCTAACCTGACCTCACTCCACTTGATTAAGTAAGATGTAATGAACTCACATATTTAGACTTATTCTCCACATAGGAAGGAAGTAAAAAATCTAATAATTTTGACAACAAAAAATAAGATATAATAAGTAGAAATAAGGAAGAGAAAAAAAAATATATATATATATATATATATATATAGTGAGTTTTTTAGTATGTGAAAAGTAGAAATATGGAGGAGAAAATACAGTGAGTTTTTGAGTATATAATAAGTAGAAATAAGGAGGACAAAACATAGTAAGTTTTTGCGTTGTTAAATAAAAGTAAAATTGAAAAGAAATATTATTTGTGAGCTTGATTGGTTTTGGATGGAAGGAGATGAGAGCAATAATTCAAAAGAAAAAATATTTTTATCCCTATAATACCTTTAACACATGTATTAACAATCCAAACAAGTGATGGTTGCTAGGCAATGGACGAATAAACAACAATTGATTACCAATGGTGACAAACAATTTTGTTGGTGATGAAAAAAATGGACAATCAATTGTGTTGCAAAACCATTTATTGTCAAGCACTATAGTGGGGACATAAAAAACAAAGAACAATCAACTGTGTCTAAGGGAATAATCGATTATTAGAAGAAAAAAATATATAAAGAAAGGCATAGTTATTTTAAATAACCAATAACTAATATTTAATGGTTCAATATTTCCTAACTATTTCTCACTATTTCAGTATATAAATTTTTTTTTTCGTCCCTAAAGTATCCACCGCTAATAGTAGTGACTAATCTCCTCGCTATATTAGAGGCACCTCAAATGGTGAGATAAATGGCCCCAAAATTTAACGCACCATATAAGTTTATTTTGTAACAAGACTCGTCACTTTTTTAAGATTCTTTCCTAACTCATTTATTTCAACTGAACAACTCCAATTTTTCAAATCTATCCTCAATTTTCATTCTCACATCTCAGTTTTTCACCTATTTCATTTCAAATACTTTTTTTTTCTATACGGAAGTTATTTTTACGAATTTTCTCATAAAATATATAACAAAATAACAATAAACATTTGCAAATGAAGACATAATAGCACATTTAGAATGACAAATTTAAGAAGGAATAGTTAGTTGTGGAAAAAAAATTAGATTAAATTATTTTTTTCCTTTATCTTATTTTTTATATTTATTTTGGTCTTTTATCTATTAAAATAGTTATTTTGGTTCTTTTTATATATATATTTTGATTAATTTAGTTGTTTTAAAATAATGATCATTTTCAATTTTTCAACATAATTTTGAATCAATTTTTAACTGATTCAAGATGTAAAACTTGTAATATTAAATTCATCCATATGAAAATCAATTGACGTTTGAATTCAAAAGATTATAAACATAGTAAAAATCATGTAAAATATATATCTCATGAATAATTAAAAAATAATAGAAAATAAAATTTGTTAAAAAATTTTATTTTTACAATGTATATAATACTTTTAGCTTAAATTTTAATTATATTCAATAGTTTTTATATAAATGAATGTATTGAAACGAATTTCAAGTCTTAAACCGAAAATGATAAAATCAACATAAATTTAGGAGATAAATGACCAAAATAAATATTTTAAAAAATTAAAAAATTTAAATATATCTTTAAAAATAAGATAAATAACAAAAATATAATTTAAGCCAAACTTCGAAACTTACATTTCTTCCTTTGTGTGAAACATGTAAACCACCGGGGAAAGAAGTAAATTTGACCGGAGTTCATCTTAAAAGAATAATCTTTCTAATATGGATACAAAATGAAGAAGAAACAACTTTATTATACAATGACCGTATAATCTTTATTTTTTTTATTAATGATATTTATGTCATTTGTTTTAACTTTTTTTTCCCTTTTTTTTTCTCTTTTGTGAAACAACATAAAAATATCTCACTTTCTTGTACTTGTGTTCCTTTCCTTTTATTTTCTTTCCTTTTTCATTTCTACTTTCTTTCATAAACATACCGTAACAACATGCAATGCAAATGAATGGAAGAAGTTAAACAATGAAAAATTTCATTATTTTTTTTATATTACAAGAAATGTTATATACAATAATATACAATAAGTATCATTATAAGTACAATATATATAAATATAATTAATATATAATTATATATAATTTTAGTGTTAATTTTAAATAAAATTTAATAATATATTTTGTGTGTCACTA